TCTCTTCTATAAGTAAAACTTATCACCATCAAAGATGGCTGGTATTTTCATAAACTGAAGTCTAGGCCTGCTAACAGAAACCCCACATATTATCTATAATATTACCAACTTCTGCATTGGTGAAAATAGGTTTCTTTTGGAGCAGTTATCGAAAAGCTATGCTAGCCAGGCCACTTTTGTTCGTTGTAAAAAATTTAACAATTAATTTGAATCAATTAAATCAAACGAATAGTAACCTTTAATTGAACCAGGAGTAGTTTTCCCACAAGCTGCTTAAATTTATGCTTTTAGAACTTTCAATCTTTTAATAATTTCGGAAGTGAATTCTATGAGATGTATTGTTTAAAATGCTTGAAAAAATTGAAATGAAGAGCATAAACTAAAGACAGCTGCTGCTTGCTGCCTCTGCTTACAATATTTATTAAAGTTTTCTCTCTTTATTTTAAAAATTCCTCTTAGGAAAAATTGTACAAAAAGTCCTTGCAGTTACTTCAATTGTTGTTAGACTTTTATCGAAAAAATATCATTGCGTGGGTAGTCAGCTGGCTGCCGTTATGTTTTCTTCTTTTCCGATGCATTAGTGGTGTTTCGCCTTATGTAAACAGTGTTAACGCCCTAAGGTGTGACTCATGTTCACGACTTAAGCACCCGCCTAGCTGGCTATTGATGAAAATATTACGTGGTCTGGAGAGGCTTTTCAAGATAGATTCTTATCATAGGACGGAAAAAAACCAAATAACGACATAAAAGGAAAGAATTGACTCTGAGCTATGATTCAACATCGACCTTTTAAAGTGTTTGAAATCGATTTGAAGAAAGCGATTGCCTTACAATTATGCAATTTTTGGCTATCTGGAGCTCCTAGAGAAACAAAAGCTTCATGCTAAAGATATTAAACAATTTATCTCACCTTTCATTAGTTCCTTTCAGAGGAGAACTGATGCTATGGGTTTTGACCGACCAACGCTCACCGAAGGTGGCGTCCTGAACAGGTGACTTTACCTAAAGACTGTCCAACTATTCACAAAAGGGAATTGTTGCATGTTCTAATAATCCTCGCTATATTGCAGAACTATGTCTTTTCCGGATATAGTTATGATGACACCAGTTCATGTACCAAGACCATCTATTGCACCACAGTTACCTATACGAGATATCGGTAGTGAGTAATATAGTGATTTTTTATCCGTAGCCTGCTTTGCTCTATGCTCTCGGCAGCATAATTTTTCTAATTTAGCCCTCAGTGGTACCGGCTACTACGTTCGCCGTCCGGAGTTGACGCGTTACACTGGGGCGCGGACACTTCCTCGTATGGATCAAGCAGTCGGTCCATATGCGTTTCCAGAACATTTGAGCGCAAGACCCTCAGACGATGCTGCAGTGTTTGGCATGTTGCCAAGGTCAAATTACAGGTAAACAGTAGTATAGTTGGGAGCGAATATTCGTGTTCGAAATTCGAAAATTTCAAATATTCGACATTCGAATAATCAAAAAGCGCATTCGACTATTTAATAGTCGAATATTTTGTAATAAACGCTTGAATATTTGAATTCGAATGGTTTCGGAACTAATTGTAAGATTAGTAATATTTGATTGTTCGAATGTCTGCGAAATCATCGAATGGTGACATGCGTAGTTACGTTTGTGAAATATTCATTCCGATCTTTGCCATTCGAATAGTCAAATATTCGAAAAAACACACAAATTCTGCTATTCGAACATTCGAA